TTTGCCTATGACGATAGTGTATTATTGTTATTGTTGTCCACCTGAACGTTCAGGATCAGATTTAGGTGCAGGTTCAATTCTTAAGTAACAAAGATTATATATAAATCTTGAATTAAATCACATTTTATTTAAAATTTGTTAAATTGTGAACATCTTATTATTTAACTCGATTATCTATAACTATAATACATAACTATAATGAAGGGAATTAAAATGTTTATTGTATACAATTTTTTTCTAATTTTATTTTTATAACTACTCTTTTATAAATTACAAATTATTATTATTGTTTTTCTGTAAATTTCACTCTATAACCACCTGTATTTCAAATAATCATTCACTATTATATGATTTTTATTATTTATTATCTTTTAAAATAATTCATACACGAAATGGCTTTATACGCTGGTTGTAAATAAATAGAAAGCCATCTTCGTGTTTACTAGCTACTAACTCAAAACAAAACTGTGATTTGGAATTATTGTGGACAATTTTTTGGTAGCTAAGGAACTTAGGGTAAGGTTAACACTAGATAATAACAAAAATAAAAGTTCAGCTTGCCTTGTGTATGAAACTATAGTTCCATTGAGTTAAAGAAGATTTGTGTTCGAAATTTAGGTGGAAGGAGATGTTGTAACCAATATTTTTAAAATAGCACTAGAACAATTTATGTGCTATTGAATAATAATAATAATAATAACTAAATAATGCATAAAATAATAGTAAAACATAATATTTTAATTTTATAACACTAAAAATAAAAATAAAATATTATTTTATAATTTTTTTTAACATAATTAGTATTTTTTTTTAACATTTATAAGTCTAAATTATATGTATCATAATATTTAAGTTAAGTTATAATAATACACAATAATTTCAATTACCAATAATAATTTACATTTAAATTAAAATAAATGGTAAATCTCTTAACTTGAATTTTTTAAAGGAAAAATTATAATGTCATGGTATTTTTCACTAACCAATAAAATAAGTTTTTGATTGATTTTACCATAATATAGGTTATTTTTTAATTTTTATTTTAGTTTTAGTTTTTAACCCTTTTAAACTTGTATATGTATATTATGTGTTAGTGGAAGAGGATCCAAATTAAGAGGAATGAGAATAATTGTCACACAAAGTTTTTATTTATTTATTTTTACTTAAACATATTTAATAAAAAATAAATTTACTCTTATAAAAAAAATAGGTGTTGTTCTCATAAAATATTTTTGTTTTAAATGAATGTAGAAATTTAGAAGAGATACAAAAGAAAATAAATAGTAATTATATTATTTTTATCTCAATAATTTATATCATTTTATTCCTCTAAAATTAAATAAGTCATTAAAAATTACAACATCACACTTAAATATAATATTTGACAGAAAAAGAAGAAAAATTTTCACTCTATTTATGAGAAAAATTTAATTTATAAAAATAAGTATATTAAATTTTTATCACAAAAATATATTTTTTAAAAAATTATTATATTTTTAAT